AAACGCCAGTATCTTAGTCGCCATATTTGTTCGTGTTTGGCTTCGGTAACAGGTATTTTGTTGTGTACACGTCCAAATGGCAAATGATACCAATAAATAATATACTTTGGAATATAAATTGAGGTATAAGTGGTGATCTGGCGATATGCGATATTAGGCAGTTGGGAAGGTTTTGAATCGCAGTTAGGAGTTGATGGTTAGGTAAGTCAACATCAGTTATTCTAGGTTAGGTATACATTTTACAAATTCATACATCGTTCATTGATCTAAGCGGATCGTTCGATCGACAAAAAATAACATAGAATGATTAAAATTATTCGTTATTCGTATACCTACTCAAAGTTATAGGACAACTTCGTGAATTCAGTCAGTGAATGCAGTCAAAGTGAATCAAAGTGTACCTACTTTCTTATTGTTTCTGTTTGAGCTTTCGGGTCTTTATCGGCTCTTTATCAGGAACTCTATAAAACATTACAAATTATATGAAATCAATCCTTTTTATTAGTGAAACACTTAGGGGCATTGAGGTTTTGTTTAACCTCATAGTGATAGTAGAATCATTGCTCGAATCATCAAATCTTATCACTCATTTTACTGCACTTAGCTGTTGTAGAAAAAACATTGAGCTCGCACTCACAATTCATTCTAAAACAACCTCAAATATCGTTCTCCAGAATATTCTCTAGATGCTGAGAAATATTCATATTATCTTCAGTGTATATTATGAGGATACTCTCAGCATACCTTGGAAAATGAATATTTCCAGAATCAAGTATACAATCCTCAACTCTCAAGTTTAACCGGTAGATGAACTAACTCAACTAACAGGTAGATTCCTGACTATTTTATTTTATCATTATTTCCTTTGTTCCAGGTTCTTATGCAGTGCAGTGCCTATGAGACCTAGTACCGTTATATCAAAAATATTTAAAAAAAAATTCAATCTACTTTTAAATTATGAAATAGTCGACACGATTATTCGATTATTAGAATATTGTTACTATGTATAATTCATAATATAAAATATGTAATTTTCCTTTACTTTTTATTTTATGTTGCCAGTTACCTTAACAAAATATAACAATAAGATTACATTCGGTCATTGAGTATGAAATGTTACTTTACTTCATACACAATGTTACAATAACTCTGCTGGAATGATTCATTTGCGAACATTACATTCATAATATTGCTTAACGTCCGTTTCAGTAGTTGCTGCGACCTTGCAGTAAGATAGCGACAATATCTGATGTAACATTACACATAACATTGAAATATTGCTGCAATAATGTTGAGATATTACTTTGCTTAGTGGGCTACTGTATCAAATAGTCTTATTTGTGAAGATTGAGGCTGTGAAATGAAAACGGTGACGACTTTTTGCCGAAAACATACCAGATATGCTTCAAAAAGAGCAGCGCCCTAGGAATAATGTGGTTTTACCAATTAGAATTGAATGTGGAGTTCAATACATTTTCAGAAAAGTTGACAAAACTGTTTGAATGTTTGCTGAATATGGGTGAGTCGTTTGAAAAATGTGGAAAAACAACATTTTCGACAGCAGTATCGATGAATCTTTTTTATTTTCCGCTTGAAATTTGTCATTCCTATCGATAGTCGACATCTTTTTGTAGTAAATATGGTGCAAAATATACTTAAAACCAATAATCTTTCTCTAATGCTTAACTAAAACCTTCAGGCAATGATAAGGCATTTTTTGTTGAAATACTCATGCATTGCATATTCGAATCCATTTTTATGAATATTTGTTCCTGGGTATGACAGCAGAGCTTCGAAAATGATAAGATTGATATAATTGTGCTCATTTGACAGTGTGGCAAAAAGTAGAAGAGCGTCATCAACATGATCAACATAACCCTACTTCTGTTATTCACAGAGTTCAGTTTGTGAATTTTGTGATTGTTTTTGAGTAGGAAACCGAGTAGGAAACATAGACGAACTACACTCAGTGCAGTTTGCCTGATATTGTGTTGTGCCAGACGTTGTCATCTTTCTCGCTTCCTTGTTCCCATTCAGATCATAAGTATTCTTTATTACCTTCTGACTCTGACTCGTTGATGGTACTTTATGAACATCAGGTTCTAATGAATTCTTGCTATTTGGTGGTCTGAGTTGGGATGAATCGAAAGACGCAGTGCTTGGGTTTGAGAATTCCAATTTACTGTTGCCCTCACAACTTGGTTTTTGATTATCAAGTAATTTTCTCCATTCTCTCGCTTGAAGTTGCCATTTCTGTTAATTTTACACCATTTATTTTCTTGTGAGTTCATTTCAACGTGAGTCGTTGTGTGCAAAAAATACGAACAGTCATTTTATGGGATTTGAGTTTATTATGTTTTGAAGATGAAGTCAATATGGCTTATAGGTTTTAATAATTACTTTCACATAGCTAGAATAATGCCATTAGATTTCATTATTGCCTCAGTCAAATCCTAATTGGCTTAGCGTAAATTTGGTTTTATGTTTACTTTATGGGTCATTTTCATAGGCTAAGTTGAAAACCTCTTGGTCGAATTCGAGGCACTAATGAAACTTAAGTGTTTTGAGAGGGTTGTTAAGAGTGAATGGTTTTGATAAAGAATTCCAATGACTTTCACAGAACTCTCTCAAAACCAAACTGAGCTGAATACCAAATTGTTTAATGCGATAGTTATAATATCATAGTATCTCAGAACCTATTAATAGGATTAAATGGACATAAAGGCCAATTTGATTTTTTCAGGGCATTCATGAAACAGTTAGAACAAATCAGACCTATCATTGGCGCTCACATGACCCCTTTTAAGTCTCATCGAAGCTATTAGGCATTTTAAATGTTTCTTGGGCATTTTTCTTCTTGATGTTACCTCAAGATCTATTGTTTAAGTTCAGCACATGTCACTCACCAATTTGTGTTTCGAATCCAACGTGTCCAACGTCGTTTCATAATTGTCAATTTTCACAGTTCCCGCAGTTCCTTCAACTCTGCAACTGACTGCAAACTGATGCTGATGCTTTTATAAAAACAATTTCTCTCGGAATCATATGCCAGTTGTTTCTGGCTCTTCAGTATATCTGAAAATGTTATACAAATGCTACCCGCTGACGAAATTCGTTTGTACTAACCATGATTTTTTGTTTTAACATTTTGAGTCCCATATAGTTTGGTATGTTCACAAAAATTGTTTCGTCCTCATTAGTTTCATAATATTATTTTAGGTAGGTACCTTTTTCTGATGATGGACGTAGTGACGAAACTGGTAACTTTTTGAAGAAGTTTTTACATATAGTGTGGTCGACGGACTTTGTGTTGTGTCTTTTTCATTTCTCTTTTGAAATTATATTGGACCACTTTGAGATATGGATGATTTTCATGACTTCTTTGAATAACCCATGTTATTTATAATCTCTTGAATAATCTCGATAACTTATCTTTGATTTCTCAAAAACATAACGAGAGTGCGAAAAATATATGGTTCCGTAAAGAATCCTCACGAAAAAATTCGAAATCGTCATATACTTATATCAAACGGTGCCATCTAGCGGGCACCACGAGATTAAACAATGATACTATGAGTATTTCATATCGATCCTTATTTCAACTCCCCCCCTCTCATTCGAAGATCCAGCGGATTTTTTTTATCGAAAATGATAGAAAATCAACTCTAGATATGCAAGGAGTGTTCTTGACATCTCAAGATGATTTATCAAATTCTCATAACCGGTTTTTTCAACTAGCCAATCCAATAACGCTTCCTAGCTGAGGTCTGGAGAATTGAAAATAATACCCAGAAATTACAATTAGCAAATTCATAGTATATTACGAGCACGTGTTATGAGTTGCCAACGGAATCCTCAGTTTATGTCTGTACCTAAACGATGAATAACGAGTTTGCAAGCAGTAGTGTTATCGATAACAAGCGACTGCAGGTTGATATGTTGAGTTTGAAAGTTTTTCTTATAACGAAAATGAGTCTGGTATCTCTAGAGAGAAGTACCAATATTCCACTGAGAGCAATTTTCATCATAATTCAAAACAAATGCGAGCAACAAATCGGAGGTTGAGGTATGTTTAGTTTTATCGGGAACCTATTTCAGGTTGAAAATGAGGCGATATGATTCATGCTATTCGTCTTGCATCAATCCGTGTAGTTTTACACCGACAAGTTTCAAGTGAACTTCTTTCTGAATTCATTCACGGTTTTCTTCAGTAAATTGGATATCTGTACTATAATCTGAACTCGCTGAATTTTACAGAAAATTTGCATGACGTTACTTTTTTCACAAGAAAATATTCACGAAAAATCAGAAGTTCTAATTGCGCAATGATCTCAACTATCCTATCTACTAACTACTAACTAAGGATGAAGTTTGGATTATTGTGCTAGTGGTGAAAAGAATTTTATTTCTGACAGTGACATTATAAGCTTATATCGTCATAGTTACGATATCTATAATGAGGGTCATAACTCCCTTGGGATGTTATAGATGCTATAATTCCCTCTAGCTAAAATTAAATAAGAAATGCATAGCAACAACCACGCAATAACGTAGTAATAAGGAATCTCCTATTCGCGGTAGTCAAGATCATCATCTGACGTTCTGATGACATTGAAACTATACGGAAAAACATGTCTAACTTCCAATCGGGAAGGTATCTAATGAATGAAATCAGTCAGAAATGAAATTATCTATGTATCACGGGAATTATAGAGCCTCAATAACCTCTGGCAATTGCTGTCCCTCGGGCCAGAGGCCCTCGGGACGCAAACTTTGCCATCGGTAATTAAGGCCCTCATAATTCCCTTAATACATAAATAACTATAATATACACCTTGGCAATGGAGGATATCATTTTTACCCAGCAATCAAGATCACATTCCAAGGCTAAGGGATATAAGGTCCCGTGGTTACTACCTTGATGATAAATACATTTCCCACTCTAACGAATTATGAGGCGTGGAAAATTGAGTCTTGGTTCCTATTTTTTTACTACTCACCTTATGGAGAGCCTGAATATTATATCCATATTATGAATATATATAATTATCGCATAAACCACGGTGGAGATAGCAAGAAGAAGTGTCAGTACTTTGGTGAAATTCAGTTTATATTTCAGTATCACATATAGAACTATCATGTTAACGAAAAATAACTGAAAGTCAGCTCCTAGATACCAAGATAATCCGTTGCACTGAAAAACAATTATTCCATGAGTATCATGTCTCTACACAAAATGTTACATCAATACAAAGTCAAAAATCGGAATTGAGTAGTAGAGGTGAACATATTACTGATAACACTGAACAATGCAAGCACCAACCACTCATCGAACTTTCATATTAGAATGATTTCATCTTCACTAACTCTATTCACTATTTTTGTATCCCTTTATATGAAACAAAAATGGATATATAACGTTGAAGGTAAATATTGAATGTGGTTTTCAATTGGTTACGCCTTACCGGTCATTCTGATCGCGACGGAATTTCGATCACATGGATAATATACTAGTATTTATGAGAGTTTATGGATTTATGGCTAGAGTTGATTGTGGCTTTGATGAAACTATAGCGATGATGTAATGTTTGATGTTTATAAGTGGTCAATTTGGATGAGTTAGCTACCAATAACATCGAACGTATCATCGCTAGCTCTGCCATAACCAGAATCGTCATGCAATAAACTCAGCTCAACCACAACTCACAACTTTTTTCATTAATCAACGTCATACCATTAGATGCAATGAATATTTATGTATCGGAGGGTTCTCTTGTTTGATATCGAAAAACCTAGTGAAAATCGATTCAACTGATGGAGAGAGGACAGCAGGAGTTCCTCCACTATGATTCAAGAGAGCAGAATGATTATAGTCATTCAACCAATCACTTATTATATTGATCGACATTTTGATTGACAAGGCATATATGCCGTTCTCGTGAAATGGCGATGTGGGCTTTCCTGAGGAGAAACAGGTAAGCATACATATATGAGCGATTTAGGTAGGGATCTGCTGTTCATCATGCTAGAAAACTACTACAAATCACACAGAAAATAATTGTATAGAGACAATAGATTATGTACAAACTTTTCGCAATAGTTATTGATATTGGTTTGAATGAAAAAATCACTGCAATACCCTACCTCGCCATCCTTCTCGGGTTCAAATATTATACACTCTTGAAATTTCAAACAAACACACTTGGTATTATCTATGTTATATTTAGCCCAGTTACTTTAGCAATAAAGTTCAGCAATATTTTTTATTTTTTCCGTTACGCATTCTGCGATAACAATTTTCCAGTATGTTTATTGAGGATACTCAAGGAAGAAATGTACTAATAGAAACAGATTTTCCGGATGTCCAGGGCCGGACAGGGGCCAGCAATATTTTATAACTTTCCTATTAGGGATCCTGCCACTTACATATTTCCGTATGTCATTCGGAAAGACAAAACGAAGAAATGTACAGTATCAGAATATTTAATCCGGGCGTCCAGGGCCGGACAGGGGCCAGCAATATTTTATAACTTCCTTATTAGGGATCCTGCCACTTACATATTTCAGTATGTTATTCAGAAAGACAAAACGAAGAAATGTACAGTATCAGAATATTTAATCCGGGCGTCCAGGGCCGGACAGGGGCCAGCAATATTTTATAACTTTCTTATAAGGGATCCTGCCACTTACATATTTCAGTATGTTATTCAGAAAGACAAAACGAAGAAATGTACAGTATCAGAATATTTAATCCGGGCGTCCAGGGCCGGACAGGGACCAGCAATATTTTATAACTTTCTTATTAGGGATCCTGCCACTTACATATTTCAGTATGTCATTCAGAAAGACAAAACGAGGAAATGTACAGTATCAGAATATTTAATCCGGGCGACCAGGGCCGGACAGGGGCCAGCAATATTTTATAACTTTCTTATTAGGGATCCTGCCACTTACATATTTCAGTATGTTATTCAGAAAGACAAAACGAAGAAATGTACAGTATCAGAATATTTAATCCGGGCGTCCAGGGCCGGACAGGGGCCAGCAATATTTTATAACTTTCTTATAAGGGATCCTGCCACTTACATATTTCAGTAAGTTATTCAGAAAGACAAAACGAAGAAATGTACAGTATCAAAATATTTAATCCGGGCGTCCAGGGCCGGACAGGGGCCAGCAATATTTTATAACTTTCTTATTAGGGATCCTGCCACTTACATATTTCAGTATGTTATTCAGAAAGACAAAACGAAGAAATGTACAGTATCAGAATATTTAATCCGGGCGTCCAGGGCCGGACAGGGGCCAGCAATTTTTTATAACTTTCTCATAAGGGATCCTGCCACTTACATATTTCAGTATGTTATTCAGAAAGACAAAACGGAGAAATGTACAGTATCAGAATATTTAATCCGGGCGTCCAGGGCCGGACAGGGGCCAGCAATATTTTATAACTTTCTTATTAGGGATCCTGCCACTTACATATTTCAGTATGTTATTCAGAAAGATAAAACGAAGAAATGTACAGTATCAGAATATTTAATCCGGGCGTCCAGGGCCGGACAGGGGCCAGCAATATTTTATAACTTTCTTATTAGGGATCCTGCCACTTACATATTTCAGTATGTTATTCAGAAAGATAAAACGAAAAAATGTACAGTATCAGAATATTTAATCCGGGCGTCCAGGGCCGGACAGGGGCCAGCAATATTTTATAACTTTCTTATTAGGGATCCTGCCACTTACATATTTCAGTATGTCATTCAGAAAGACAAAACGAGAAAATGTACAGTATAAGAATATTTAATCCGGGCGTCCAGGGCCGGACAGGGGCCAGCAATATTTTATAACTTTCTTATTAGGGATCCTGCCACTTACATATTTCAGTTTTTTATTCAGAAAGACAAAACGAAGAAATGTTAAGTATCAGAATATTTAATCCGGGCGTCCAGGGCCGGACAAGGGCCAGCAATATTTTATAACTCTCTTATTAGGGATCCTGCCACTTACATATTTCAGTATGTCATTCAGAAAGACAAAACGAGGAAATGTACAGTATCAGAATATTTAATCCGGGCGTCCAGGGCCGGACAGGGGCCAGCAATATTTTATAACTTTCTTATTAGGGAACCTGCCACTTACATATTACAGTTTTTTATTCAGAAAGACAAACCGAAGAAATGTACAGTATCAGAATATTTGATCCGGGCGTCCAGGGCCGGACAGGGGCCAGCAATATTTTATAACTCTTTTATTAGGGATCCTGCCACTTACATATTTCAGTATGGCATTCAGAAAGACAGAACGAGGAAATGTACAGTATCAGAATATTTAATCCGGGCGTCCATGGCCGGACAGGGGCCAGCAATATTTTATAACTTTCTTATAAGGGATCTTGCCACTTACATATTTCAGTATGTTATTCAGAAAGACAAAACGAAGAAATGTACAGTATCAGAATATTTAATCCGGGCGTCCAGAACCGGACAGGGGCCAGCAATATTTTATAACTTTCTTATTAGGGATCCTGCCACTTACATATTTCAGTATGTTATTCAGAAAGATAAAACGAAAAAATGTACAGTATCAGAATATTCAATCCGGGCGTCCAGGGCCGGACAGGGGCCAGCAATATTTTATAACTTTCTTATTAGGGATCCTGCCACTTACATATTTCAGTATGTCATTTAGAAAGACAAAACGAGAAAATGTACAGTATAAGAATATTTAATCCGGGCGTCCAGGGCCGGACAGGGGCCAGCAATATTTTATAACTTTCTTATTAGGGATCCTGCCACTTACATATTTCAGTTTTTTATTCAGAAAGACAAAACGAAGAAATGTTAAGTATCAGAATATTTAATCCGGGCGTCCAGGGCCGGACAAGGGCCAGCAATATTTTATTACTCTCTTATTAGGGATCCTGCCACTTACATATTTCAGTATGTCATTCAGAAAGACAAAACGAGGGAATGTACAGTATCAGAATATTTAATCCGGGCGTCCAGGGCCGGACAGGGGCCAGCAATATTTTATAACTTTCTTATAAGGGATCCTGCCACTTACATATTACAGTTTTTTATTCAGAAAGACAAACCGAAGAAATGTACAGTATCAGAATATTTGATCCGGGCGTCCAGGGCCGGACAGGGGCCAGCAATATTTTATAACTCTCTTATTAGGGATCCTGCCACTTACATATTTCAGTATGGCATTCAGAAAGACAGAACGAGGAAATGTACAGTATCAGAATATTTAATCCGGGCGTCCAGGGCCGGACAGGGGCCAGCAATATTTTATAACTTTCTTATTAGGGATCCTGCCACTTACATATTTCAGTATGTCATTCAGAAAGACAAAACGAGGAAATGTACAGTATCAGAATATTTAATCCGGGCGTCCAGGGCCGGAGAGGGGCCAGCAATATTTTATAACTTTCTTATCAGGGATCCTGCCACTTACATATTTCAGTATGTTATTCAGAAAGATGAAACGAAGAAATGTACAGTATCAGAATATTTAATCCGGGCGTCCAGGGCCGGACAGGGGCCAGCAATATTTTATAACTTTATTATTAGGGATCCTGCCACTTACATATTTCAGTATGTCATTCAGAAAGACAAAACGAGGAAATGTACAGTATCAGAATATTCAATCCGGGCGTCCAGGGCCGGACAGGGGCCAGCAATATTTTATAACTTTCTTATTAGGGATCCTGCCACTTACATATTTCAGTATGTCATTCAGAAAGATAAAACGAGGAAATGTACGGTATCAGAATATTTAATCCGGGCGTCCAGGGCCGGAGAGGGGCCAGCAATATTTTATAACTTTCTTATCAGGGATCCTGCCACTTACATATTTCAGTATGTTATTCAGAAAGATAAAACGAAGAAATGTACAGTATCAGAATATTTAATCCGGGCGTCCAGGGCCGGACAGGGGCCAGCAATATTTTATAACTTTCTTATTAGGGATCCTGCCACTTACATATTTCAGTATGTCATTCAGAAAGACAAAACGAGGAAAA